ATATGTTTGGTTGATGACAGTGAAAACAACCTAACTATAGCTTCATTTCCTTTTCTATTCATTTGAAACCATGTAAGTAAATCTGCTAACAGAAATGCAGACACATTTTTCTTTTTTCCACAATGTGTTTTTCTGCTCATTAGTCTAGTTCAGTCATCCCAATTGTATGACACTGACTAAATTAGCATTCTTACAATAACCCACTGATGGACAAAGCTGTCGATGTTAATGTATTAAAATTTAAAGGGTGAACAATTCCTTTTACATTTTATGTCCTGGGATACCGCTCCATCAATCCTGAACGTAGTGGTTTCCCCAGCTGTGGCTGAGGCGCACCTGTGGATGCCATTTATGGAGATTAAAAACAAATAAACAAACAAACAAAAGAAGTCACAGATTAGCCCATATAAGGAGAATGAACAGAGCTCTTCCTGATGTTTTACAGTAATGTCATTTGATTCACTTGTGACAGCTGTTCGATCCTGCTGTTAGAACTGTGCAAAAGTCTTGAGCCGGCCCTCATTTTTTTATATTTTGGTAGGAATATGGGTGTAGCAATTTCTTGAAAGGTGCACACATACACGGAAATACATTAACTAAGATGATCCCACACTGCTTCAGGAATGTTGAAGTCTGGGCTCTGGGGAGGCCAATCCACGACTGTGTGTTTTTCTAATCATTTCTAATTTTATGGCATTGACAGTGTGTTTGGATCATTGTCATGCTCAAACATGAAAAGGTCAGTTGCCAAGCAGCGTTTTCCAGATGGTCTTGCACGGTTGGCCCATTTCTCCTGGCCTCCGCTGTGCCTGCTGACAGTGAGTTACACCAGAAATGTTACATTTGGATTCATTGGTCAATAAGACCTGTCTCTACTGATTTTTATTACAGCTTTTGTGTAATTTGGCACATTTTAGTCCCTGTTTCCTTTCTTTAGGAAGCTTCTTGACAGCTGCCTTTCCACTGAAACCATTTCTGATGAGGCTTTGGCAAACAGTCAGTGGATCAACTGAAAATCCTGTGTTGGGTCTTTGGTCGATTTTGCCTATTTCTTAAGCAAATGACTTTCAGATATCTGCTGTAGAGCTTTTAAGGCCTGCCACTTCTCCTGTCCTCTATTCATCCATTTGCCTCATATTTTTTAAGGGCAGACTGCATACCATGCTGAAATAGCACTTTATTTTATTGCTATGAAATGACTAGGACTATTTTATAACTATTTGTGGCTGAAGACTTTTGCACCGTTCGTAAAATCTGTATGAAAGATCACCAAAACATGGCACACCTCAGGCAGAAGCTCTCTGGATTTGCACAGTGTTCAGATTCAGTCTGTGAATAATTTAATCAGGACATCAGACTGGCAGCTTGGAGGGAACGCCGCTCTTAAATGCTCGCTGATCTGATTTTTCTACATATGGCATCCAGATACATTAATAGAATCACACAAGAGTAGGCTACAGTGGTAAAATATGCTAAGTGTGCTACTATATCAAACTGACATACATCACAGTTGGGATGTTGGATGGTTTCTTGTGACACAGAGGCTTCATTGCTTAAACACTGATTTATGTACAGTGTGTTCCTTCACCCACAGCCTACATGGGAGCTTCCTCAGTGCAAAGCAAGCTGCCTCTCTGTGTGCAGGAAATATTAAATATGGCTTTCTACAGTGTCTCACGCTGCCAGTTTCACCAGTGACTCGAATAATCCAGGCTTAAGGGTTCAGCAGCACAAAGGCCTCTCCATCACCTACACAGGGTTCACAGTTTTCTCTCCTGCATTTTCAGAGATTGGAGGCAGTGAAGCTTCATCTAAGGCAGCTAGAAGGCCTCTAGCTTGAAAAATACCTATTAGAGCATTGATGCTGCATAACAGGAGAGACTTGATGTTTTTGAATTTACATCCAGTGGCAAAGCTGGCTTAGGCCACTGGGACAACATGGAGAAGATACATTTACATGAGGAGTGGATGAGAAACAAGAGCCTTGCCTCCCCTTTGTAGGAGAGTGCCTTTCACCTGCATAAGGGTAAAAGGATCTCACAGCTTCTAAATCAATAGCTGACATGCTCTCTGGCAACCTATAAATGGCCCATTTGCAGGAAACCTTCTCGTCAAGGTCTTCCTCTGTAGATCCTGCAATCTGTCATCTTCTCCATTCATTTAAATCTCACAATGATTTTAAGTCCTTCATTTGAGGGCTTTTGATATCAGGCAACATAAATGTAAGGAGGGGGGAGATGATAAAAGTCTAATATTTCTCAACAAAAGAAGAATCTGTTGAATGTTTTTTCAAATCCTTGAAACATCTTTGCTGTTTTTGCCTCGGGTCATTAAAACTAATTTAGAGCCAGCTGTTTAGCTTTTAAGGCGGTAGAAATGGTGCAATCACAACAAGGGTGAAATGTGACAAATATGAAGCTCTGACAGCAAAAAACCGCCAGTAAAATAAGCTGCTGCGGTTAATAATGACCTTGGAAAACACCGAGCTAGGGCTGGTTTCAGATTACTCAGATTGTGTATATATGTGCAAATAAGTGGAAGAATTTCTAAACTATACTGTAGTTGAAAAGGCAGCTTCATCTTATTTCTGAATTGTTAACAGATGCATCACTCCCAGGATGTTGGTGATTTTTCAGTCCTTTGCACAAGCTTTAAGCCCCTCTACCGTCCACCTCGTAGTGTCAGCTTTAACACCCCCATCCTTCTCCTAAACTACAAATTTAAATGACTCTTGTCTTTCGCCCTATCATCCCTTTTCCTCTTCCTTCTTCAAATGTAGAGAAACTCTTCTCTCCTCCCTTCCATTATTCCTCCCGCTCCTCCTTTTCCTCAACAAGGACAAGTACTCTTTGTCTCAGTCTCTTGTGTGAGTCGCACTCGCCCATCCTCTCTCTCCACGTCTCTGTAGAGCAGAGACTTCTGAGCCTTCAGACGGCAGGCCAAGGACATAAAGATCGAGTTGACGTTCTGACTTTCTCTCGGGTCCTTTGCCGACGTCTCGAATAGCAGCATGTTGTGGGCGTCGGCGAACTTCAGCGCCATGTTGGAGGGCACCTGGGAAAGCACAAGTGATCGGTTGTTAAGTGGATGATGAATAAACCCTGAAGTCACGCTGCGATCCTCGGCGGTGCACACAAACCTGTATTTGGTCCACAAGGTCGCACTTGTTCCCCACCAGGACTCGAGGTACTGATGCCGACACCCGATGACCATTGCACTCCTGGAAAGTGAAAAGCATATCGCTTTATAAACTTTGGCTGTGTGTCTGTAAAACCATGTAGAGTACAACATAGACATTTGGTCTCTTGGCTGTGAAAACAAAAGAAGGACTTTTTCACATTTAAAATACATCCATGTCATCGCACTGTTGCCAGGATGTGCGAGAAGTCCCCGTTCCCACCATTCAGTGTAAATAAATGACACTATAGAATAATATATAAATAATCACGTGTAATTAAAAAACCTTATATATTAAATTATATTGAATAAGATATTACATTATATATAATTTACAAATTATTTTACTGCTGCTAAAAATTACCCACAGTATATCTACTGATAATACTTAGAATATCAGGACTTCACAGTGAGCTGTACTGAAGGGATAACAACAAGCTGGAAAGCATCTGTCATGCAAAACCACTGATATAAATATCGTGTATAAAAAATTTTTTTTCTAGCAAATGCTGACAGAACTACACTAAATTAAAAAGGGAGTGTTGGCTATAAATTATTTCCATTTTAGACATTCCAACAAATTGCTGTGGCAGGAAAACAGGTTACTGCACATTAACCATGACTCACTTTCACTGAGAGGAGACCCTGGAAGCTGTGCCAGTGAGACACAGAGCTAAACAGAGCTTGTATTAACACTTAGAAATGTCTTTGTCTTTACAACATCCCACAAAATTACTCTACTTGTGTGAATTTTACACTTGCAGTGCCGCCATGCCACTGCCACATTAGTCTTTAAAGGGCTGCAAATGCTAGTCAAAATGAGCTTAAACAGGAGCTTAGGTTCATTTTACTGTCCTTGTTCGGGGGTAGTAGGGGCCACATTGTCAGTAGTGCAAATAATGAACATTATTATAGCAGTGTCAGTTTGCTGTTACACATTGAAATGATTTTGGCCAGTGTGTATAACAACAGCAGTTGTAACATTGTCACACATGTAAACATAGATCTGTATTGTCACTGTTACTACTGTTTCAGATCTCCCCAGACTATAAGGCAAAAAGAAAGTGCAGCTTTATGGTTAGATTTTTACATTAAAATTACTAATAATAAAGAGAAAAGATACAAACATATATAAGCTGTAAGGTGCAATTTAAGGTGCAGTGTAATCAGTGGTAGTGCACATTGAGTAAGCACTGTTTATAATGGGTAATTAAGGGAAACCTGAAAAAAGAAGAGAAGGGAGAAACACCCTTCCACCATGTTGAGTGTTGACATTGTATATAGTTTGTCCACTAGAGGGCGCTCTGCAACTTATTGTCAAGAGGGAAAAATATTGGCCGACATATGGAATACTGGCTTTTGAAATCATCAAATATTGGTCTTAAAAATGCGATATTGGTTGGATGACCATCTCTAGTGACGTTATCACTGATTCTTGTGTTTACTGTCAGATGACTGTAGTTGCATTTCAGTTTTACAACTTATGTCTTGGTTCAAGTCTTGATTGTTATTAATAGTTGAGACTTAGACTCAGAGAAAGAGAACTGCTGTGTAGAAAATCTGACTGCACATGATTTGACTTTCCCATTTGTTTTTTTCCTTCTTCCCTTTTCAGATTTGGTGAATGGCTGGTAAAAGTACGCATTTTTGGATTCATCTGCCTCCTGTGTCGTCAAACTCCAGAGTCCAAACAGCACCAGACTCTGACAGCACCAAACCACATCTGGTGATGGAAACAGCACAGTGTCAAACGGTGACTAATAAACAGTCTTGGGGGTAGGAGGGAACACTGAACAATGCTCAGAGTCCTTATGGTACCAAAGGGGGATCATTACATAGCGGCTGTAAGTCAGCCTCCTCTGTTGTTCACTGACAAGTGATTTTTACAATGTAATGCCAACCTCTATCCAAGTCTGTAGGTTGCGGAAGGAAGCCATCTTGGTAACATCATATACAAAGACCACAGCATGAACATTGCGGTAGTAGTGCTCCACCATGGATTTACGAAAGCGCTCCTGGCCTGCTGTGTCCCATACCTGCACCTGTAGAGACAGACGACTTAGGTTTATATACAAATTACAGAGACAACCGATCATTACACATAGAGACAGCACTGACAGAAGTGGAAAATATAAATGGTATTCTCTTAGAATATCCAGCAGATCATGAAATATAAGACAATTTTAATATCAGAAGTAACAGCAACAGCTTTTTTGTTGCATACAATTACTTGAGATAAAATTGTACAAATGAATAACAATGAATATGAATTAGGCTGCAATGAGTTGTCTAAGCTTGCAACTTTGCAAATCAGAACATTGCCACGTGAGCAGGAAACAGTGCAAATATATTCCTAGCTACAGGGTCTCAGGAGAGCATGGTTCTACAGTACAGTGCGTTTTTCTGCTTGATCATTAACAGCAGGTTCAGCCAATATCTACAGTATGTATCCTAAAATAATGTAATGTGGGTTAGAAGCAAGTGTCAATCTCTGGGCCTTGAAAAACAAAACTCGAAAAGCCCAGAATCTGCATTTCATCAAAACAAACACTTCCTGCTGGCTCCACAGGTGTGTCAAGACTAGATTTAAATGTCCAGCTTTACAGCAGACATAAGCATAATTACATAATTAAGTACAAAATATGGTTTTATTCTCTTTAGCGCAATTACTTTTCCATAATAAGTGTATATATGTTAAAATGCAAGACTTCACCCACTATTACCTAGACCTATAGATGTCTACAGAAAACAGCTTTCTGTAAACACTATCTTGAAGACTTTATGGGCTCAGTGACTTGTTTGAGTCATATTGAATAAAAAATGAAGTCTGTTTTGTAAATCCTGTTCATACTATCCTTCAAAGTGGAGTATTACCTGAGGTATGCAGGAATAAATGAGCACGCATTTTCGTAGTAAGACCCACCTTGGTTTTGTTTGAAAATGCTCAAGGCTTTAAAATGAGACTGCAAACAATGAGACAGCAAACAACAACATGAAGTCACAGTAGCTATGTCTAACTTTTGTACTACGTTTGTACTTAAAGACACTCCAATGAGTCAGCTCTTTATTTTTCCAGTTTGTTTATTTCTTTATTTCTTCTATTCATTTTAAACTTTTACCAAAATTAGCATCCTTTACCTTTCTAACCATGTGAGCTAGCTAGACTAGCTAGAATGCTATGTTAGTGCTAGCATTAGCTGAAAACTATTCTAGTTCCAGCTAGAACTAGAATATCATAAACAAAATGATTATGATAGATTTCAAAAATATAAAATATCTGCTGCCAATATACCAAATTTGAGGCTTCAAAAGAGAATTGATCAAATCATTAAGTGTTCTTTAACATATTATGTTTTCAAACTAAATTAGGGTATTCAAGCTAGTTAGCCAAGTTCATCAAATGTTTAGAATGTTGTTCACTACCCCAGTCAACAGGGGAGCAAAAGAGAAGTATTTAGCCCCAGCACTGTACCATACCACTGCTTAATGAAGTAATTTTTAATAATTACTGATTTCAGATTTAGCCTTACTAAGGCCATTAGGATGAATCGGAGGTCAGAATTTATTTTCACTAATGCACAAAAACGGTTTTGTTTTTTTTCTGTCTGATCAGTAGCACTTTGTATATCAGCAGGGAGTTCTCCCAACACTTAGCACAGCCCTGCAGTGTAAAAAGGGCCAGAGAATTATCTGCTATTACCATTTGAAAGGACTAGCGCAGCTATTTATCATTAGAGGCAGAACACTGCATCAGAGCCAACCATAACATCAAAGCTCAGCGTTTCGAACGCGTGGCCCTCATGATTTGATAAGTTGAGAAAATTGCATCCTATTTAAACTGATTACAAATGGACATTATGAAAGTGAATATAAGAGATACGGCATTATGTATGCACTCAGAGGGAACGTCAGTTTAAAAAGAAACGCTGAATATATTAATAGCATTGTTTTCATCAATTTGAAATAAGCGTCAAAAGCTACGAAACATATTTTTTCAGGTTATCTCATGCCCTCGTGAGAATCAATGACATTATTTTGACACATCAGTCTGCTTTTCTTTTTATAGTCCTACGCAGGTTTATGCTGTTTGAAGTTGTAAATTTGTATTTTACTTATATTTACCAGCCAGAGGAATAGAAAGCATGGGAGCTGCACAGTTTAATCCCTCTGTACTTAATCCTCTGAATTTTAATGATATATTAGTCTCTTATATCAAAGGTACAAGTGAAATTTTGACTTGTATGACAACATTTTTTCCCCACTTCTACAGAATGGCCTAGTTTTTACTTCAGCAATGGAAGAGTTCACTTTTACATAAAAAGGCAGGATTTTACATTGACATCTTGGCTCTGGTGCTGAAGGCAAACTTGTGGGGGGCTCACTGAAGGGCAAATTCTCTTTACAGCATCTTCTTTAAGATAAATGTTGGCAGCTTCCTGTCTTTGAATTATCCAATCAGAAACTGCTGCCATCTTGACAAGGTCTCTGTTGAAATAGAGCTCGTCAATATCAGTGGGATTACCAGTTGAACAGAAAAATGAATGTAAAAACAAAACAATAGATGGGCCTGTTTTGATCACTCTTTAAGTATTTTAAAGACATATAGATCCATCTTTAGGGGGAGTCATAGCTGTCTCCTCTTACAGCTGCTTATGCAAATGGAGTTAATTACCAATGAGGATTAATCTTAATTTAATGTCCCATTTCCATGTACTCCACCAGCAGTAACCAGCTCAGAGAGCAGCAACAAGAAAGCAGATATTTTCAGTCTCACAACAATGACTGTACAGTGTGGCAGGTGTGTCTGGGGGGCATTTGGATGATTCAGATACAATGACCTAATACTACGTAATGCGACTGTGCAACTGTGTTTGTGAGTCAGCACTGGGGGAACCTGGAGTATGCACACAGAATAATCCACTGAGAGAAAGCAGGGAGGGGAGCACACAAAGGTAAGCTTCACTGACATCACAGTGTCTGGTCTGAGTGACCAGCCAAGGTGTGAGTCAGGAATCACAGTTAAAGAAACGACGAACCAGATGAGTAAGCAAATTGTTAACCTTTCATATTCATGCTAAAATCTTGAACCTGTTTTTACACTGTGGTCTGATGTTGGTTTTGTTACGTCTGCCAGTACGCATTGCTCCAGAAATGATCTTCAAAGTCATTACATTTTAATTTCACAATGAGGGCACATGACAGTGTGGCCTACATTTACGATGCTGCTGTCTTTACTTTGTGACTACAATAACAGCCCAGCTAAGGGGCTTGCCTCACACGTGCAAACACGGGAATGTGGTTATTTTTGTTGATTGAACAGCTTAATTGTTGCAATCACCTTGTAGACCTGCTTTATATTATACATGTAAATAAATGGCTTGCACGTGCTGAAGGTGGACAAGCGCATATTTATAGATTCTGCAGCACCACAGTCAGATTTTGATGTTTTGTTTTTCATTTAGAGTTTTAAAATTCTCTTAAGAAATGTTGCATTCATAGTCAGATTTGTAAAAATATATTCATTTCTGTTTATGTTTCAAACTCGAAATCCACAAAAAGCCTACTGAGCCATACAATAGAATTCATTAGAGGCTACCTTTATCTTCCTGTGGCCTGTTACTGACTACAGAGCATGTGGCGGCAAAGAAAAAAGGGAGTTGTAGTTCTTTAGAATGTACTAAAAATATGTTTTTTAAAATGTTACATTTCTCCAGAGATATTCTAAAATGTTGCCCATCCTTTGAGAGTGTGAGGATAAAATGAAAGAAACGGCCCCCTGTGTGTCCACTGGCAGCTGATCAGCTCAGCCGAGAGGAGGAGGAAGGGTGTAGGAGTGAGGGAACACCACTGATCAGCATCCAGCTCCTCTGCTGCCTGTTACCTTGATAGTCTCCCCTTCGATCTCCACCACCTTCTCCCTGAAATCCACGCCGATGGTGGCCTCGGTCTTATCGGGGAAGCTGCCCCCCGTGAAGCGGAAGGTGAGGCAGGTCTTCCCCACGTTGGAGTCCCCGATGACGATGATCTTAAAGATCCGCGTCTGGATGCTCAGCTCCAGGGAGGAGGTGCTCAGATCCACGGAGGACGTGATGCTCGGGGCGGCATCGTTGCTGCTGCTGCTGGCTCGGCTCCGGCTGGCTCTGTGTAAATCCATGGATGATGTTAGGATCGTCACATTGTCATCCGCTCGGTGTTTTCTACCGATTGCTCTTCCACAACCACCTCCTCCGCCGCCCGGAGCTCGGGTCTCCTCCTCCGGGCTATCGTTGGTCATTATACCGGAGGAGGCGATGCGGAAATCGGGGTGCGTGTGTCGAGAAGAGGATTGATAGACGGGAGAAGGGAGGGGAAAGGAGAAAAGAAGGAGGAGACGAGGGATGCAACAATACCAACGATGCTCCTTTCAGCAGCTGACTGTGGCCTTAAAGGGAGAAGAATACAATAAAAAAAAATCAATTGACTAATAATAATAATAATAATAATTTATGAATAATAAAAATAATTGACAATTCAATGAAATGCAGTTTAAAAAGTTGTAAATGAGCACTTGCCTCATGGTGCTTTATATTGCAATGTAAGACCCTACAGTAATACAGAGAAAACCCCAACAATCAGATGACCCCCTGTGAACAAGCGCTTTGGCGACAGTGGGAGGGAAAAACTCCTTTAAAAGGAAGAAACCTCAGAACCAGGCTTGGGGAGCGGCAGCCCTGAGTGGTAATGACTAATGCACCATATATAGAAACATAGGATATTTCAATTTAAATTTACTGAACTGCATCATTATTACCACAAAACATTGTAACATTGATGCCACAAAGGCCATTAAATATAATCAGCTGATAGCCTAAATTCAGCCAGCTCATGTTACCAGACCCAAAGAGCAATCTCACCTCCAGACTTCTAATTTTATCTCTTCTTTCTGAAATCTGTCGAGTACCTAAAAAATACCCAAACTGTTATAAAGACATGTGAAAAAAGACTCATGCCAAGCAGGGCACCTACACATCACTAGAAACTCTATTTAGTCATAGTCAAACCTAATTATTGTGATATTATTTATTTATAACGTTATCATATTGTAATACTAGGATTGGAAGTTAATATAAATTACACCAGGGCCACAGGGCTTTGTCATGGTCCGCGGTTCATCTCTTTATGTTCACCTTGTGTTTACAGTTCATGAGCAGAACTCTCTATTAGTTTGTTTTTCATCCACTGTCATTAGTCATAATTACTTCCTTCTAGATTCAAGATAGTAAAGATTACAGTTTAAAATGTGATGCACTTAAAGTACTGAAGTAAACAGAAGGTTTTTCTATAATTCAAGCATTTCCTTTCAGGGTGTAACAGAGAAAGAAAGTGAAAGATTTTCTCACACTGTCTGTCGTCACATGAGCTGATCGGCTTGTCACACTGTCACATTCCATAAACCAAGAAGTTCATAATGCAAAGGATTGCAGTGTTCCCAGATTCCTCGCTCGATTTAAGTGAACAAAAAGAAAGAGCAATACAGAGAACAACCGTTTTAAGATAACATAAAGTTTTCTGTCTGCGAGTGAAACAGCTTAATGCTAATGAAGGCTGTCACAACATGAGATTGTCATGAGGCGATTCTCTAAGGCACTCCAATTCATGTTAACACAGCCACAGATGGTGACAGTCAGTACACTCCATGAGGAGTTAGCCACAGAAGGTAACTGCTGACAGGACTGGCTGTTCACAAAGTGCTAAATTGAAGAATATGAAGTTGGCAGGAAGGGAAAATCAGGGTTGGAAAAGATGCAAAAGAAACAAAGATGACCGCAGCACAGGATTGTTGAGTCAAGGTGTTTCAAGAACTTTGGAGAGCTTCACAGGGAGTGGACAGAGGCTGGTGTCAGTGCATCAGGAGCCACCGTGCACAGATTTCTTCAGCAAATTCCTAAAACAAAGCCCTCTTGAAACAGCGACATCAGTAACATCTTACAGGGAATAAGCTGAACTGTTGTTCAGTGGTCCAGGGTCCTCTTTTCACATGAAAAATAACTTTGCATTTCATTTAGAAATTTAGAAGGTGTTTGAAACCTGTCGTCACGTGTCTGCAGTCTGATAATTTGAGGTGCCACACCAGCCGCTGTCATCCACTGTGTTTTATCGAGTCCAAAGTCAATGCAACAATCATCCTGGAGATTTTACAGCATTTCATGGACCAAAGTTGTAGACCAACCAGTCATGCCACAGTACACAGCACAAGTTTTCCTCAGCTCCCAGTCTCCTGGATTATTATTATTATTATTTTAAAGTTTAGTTATTTTTGTTGCAGTTGAGATAAAAAAAAGTCTGATGCATAACAGCTGATGCTTTGAAACGAAGAAACAGAAGGAAGAGACAGAGTCTGTTTCACTCACCGTCTGAAACGATGCTGTACAAGAAGCTGCAGCACGTTTGAGCTGCTGCGTTTCCATCTTGACTCAACGCAGCAGAAGTGACAGCTGAGAAACACGCAGCCTTGTTCACGTGTATGCACACTCACTGTTTGCTGATATCAGACTGAAATGCAGACAGAATCACCAAACACTTGTTTTTCTTGCACAGACAAACAGGCGTGCCACTCTCTGTTTGAACAAATCCGTTAAGACACAGACGCAGTCTCTTCCTCACAGACGTGCACATTTTCTCTCTCTCAAAGAGACAAACATAATCCTTTTCTTACACGCACACGCACACACACACGCAAAAAAAAAAAAAAAGTCACTCCCAGTGTCAAACAATCCCAACGTTTCTGTCTGACAAAGCTCCCCTTCATCCTCAGAAAAAGGCCTGTTTGTCTGAAAGCGATGCTCAGTGGGACATTCACATTCTAGTGAGCCCAGTGAAATATAGCACACATTTGGATACACGTATACAAACAAAATAATACCCCAGTGTTACAAAAATAACATGTAGTTATCCATAGATGACTTTTTATGATTACTCAGTCTAAGTTGTTTTCCTCTCTCACTAAAACTTCAGGAGGAAAAAAAAGAAGGAAAATAACAGTTAATACATGTGACATTCTGTCCTCTGCAGCTTTGAAATTTCAGCCTCAGTTTCCACATCTATGGCATCAAATTAAGTTCAAACTTGAAGCTTTGTTACACATACCATTATTGTCCTATATGTGTCTTTAGGTGGCACAACCAGCCTTTAGCCGGACTCCAGTCCTCCATGTCCTCAAGTTTTGTCGTGTCACTCATGAGCAGCGCAGTTAGTGAGGGTGAGTGTGAATGCAGTGCTTACTCTGAGCTGTGACAGTTACATGTGATTTTATAATTCTCTGTCAGATCAATGACACCATAACACTAATCCCATTTTAACCCTACGCTGCATCCTTTGACTTAACCTGATGCACCTCGAGAAATGTAACTACACGTCTGGTCGACGGTTACCAGGATGACTTGAATGTTGTGGAAGGTTGCAGTGTAGAAATTAAAGGAGTTTCTGGTTACAATGTCAGTTAGGACATAGATTTCTTTCCACAGAAGTCTAAATCAAGCTTTATTTTCAGAAGCGGAGGCCACTGGTTTGTTCGTCCACAGGTAAAGAGATCATTGGAGAGTGTGGGATTATAATATTATTTTATGCCATGTTAGACCCCTAATTAAAGATTGTAAATTATTATGTAGTTTTAGTTTGCATTATTACTAGAAGAGAGCAGAACATACCGGAGAGGTTTTCTGCCCCATCTCAGCAGGAGCAGATAAACAGGGAGCCAAGGTCGTAGCTTAGGCGCCGTGTGAGAGAAAGAATGTGAATGTTTAGGCTTTTATGATTAGGTGGGGGCCACTAGAGGCTATAAGAGTTTGATCAATGCTCCACCATTTTGAGATCTGATGCTGTCTGCGTACGGTGTCCATCTCCCACGCGTTTACATTAAAATCATCGTTTGACTCAACCCGGCCGGACCAGTGTTGTTATTTTGGTTTTCCTCTTGTATCCATCCCCAATATTTGAATCCATAACAAGAGTGACCCAGCAGGTCAGTAAGTGAGGGGAGTGTTCCAGAACGGGCCTTCAGACAAACTGGTGAAGACACTGGTAAACAGGAGACACAGACGTTAACAGAGAGAGTGATAACTTTCATAGGACTAACATAAAGGAACCTGAGGAGGCAGACAACCTGGAGGAGACTGGGTGCTTGAGCTTGCCTTTAAGTAAAAGCTGATGAGGTGGAGGTTGTTATCATGGCATCCTCTCCTGGTCTGAATACACTATTATGCCAAATACATTTGCTTTGCCACAAGGAGCTCTATAAACTCTGTGTAGGCTCCTCTTCTGGGACAGTTTATTCTAATTTCTTTTACTGTAAATTTTATTCGTGTGCTGTTCAACAATGCCAGAGCTGACAGACAAAAGAAAAGAGAAGACATTATAAAAAAGAGGGGAAAAGGGAGAAAAAATAAGAATAAAAGTTAAAGCAAACATTCATCATGACTGGTCATCAAGCGCTGCATCTTTAACAAGGTGAAAGTGAGTGTGTGTTTGTCATGAAACATACTTGGTGAGAAGCCACACCAGCCCCATTGTCATTGTAAGAGTAAGAGGTCATATGGATGCATGTGTTGCACCCTACCTTTAAGATTAGGCTTTCCTTTTTGATAAAGCACACAGAGCTGGATCAGGTGGTCCTGAATCCTCCCTTAGTTACACTGCAGCAGGTGCAGGCTGCTGGGTGCTTGCTGTGATGCACTGATTGTTTCTTCTTCAGTCACCTTTTTTCACTCATTATATGTTTATACACCTCCCTGCATTTAATCAATGGTTATTATTAGTCTCTGGCTCTTTTTGTGCTGGTTTCCTCCTCTCACCCCCAAACTGGTCATGACAGATGACCGTCCCTCCCTGAGCCTGGTTCTGCTGGAGTTTCCTTTCTTCCCACCGTCGCCCACACTTGCTGATTATTCTGATTGTTCTGATTGTTCCGATTGTTGGGGTTTTCTCTGTGTTCTTTGTATTATTGTTGTATCTTTACTTTATAATATAAAGCACCTTTCAGCAGCTGTTGTTGTGATTTGGTGCTTCATAAATAAAATTGAATTGAATTGAATTTAAATTGAATGTGCTGTATGAAGTGCAAGGGATGAACATGACTGATGGTCAGAATGAGGCGGGGAAGGTCTGGGCTCAAACCCAAGGATGACATAAACATCTACTCTGCTCATCCTGGACTCAGAGAGTTTCACAGACTCCAAAAATAACAACCAACCAGTGCTGGACTATGGCATGTGTGGAGGTTGCCCACTAACTGCAAGTAGTAATGGTGGTCAGATGGTCGTAAAGAGGATCAGCGTGCAACACCTGCAACCTCTGTGTGACCACTTTTGACTGCAAGGTAATTGCACAGGTTTTCTGGTGGGATTAAAACTTTTCTCCAAACAACTAAGTCCCACTTGAACTGACTATAATCAATCTCACACAGATTGGCGACTCCCACAACTCCCACAACGCATGTCTTTGATAGAGGAGTAAATTGCTTGCAAACTGGCAATATTGTTATATAGAAGAAGGGCTCTGTCATTCTGCATTTAAATCACCATCTGCAGCAAGTTCAACGCACAATGCAAACCCACAAAAAACAAACAGAGAAGAAAAGAACAATAAAAACAACAAAAAACAATAAAAACCTGGATATTTTATTACTAACTTATAAATTATGTACTTACATATTTTGTTAATAGTTCACAACCAGCTATGAACTACTCCTTCCCACCATTATGAACATGAATAAATGATATTGATACATACACTAAATTATTTGCTCAAACACACTGTAGTAATAAGAGGTAATTGAATCCTCATAGAAAAGATACATTGAAAGCTTATCATGTATGGTACTTAGCAAACAAGCAGTTTAAGATCGCTCCACAGCTACGACTTACAGATGTCTGCAGTAAGCTCTACTCTTCTGTACCATGAACTGTTGAATCTTTATAAAAACACTTTAATCTGCCAAAAACAAAAAACTGCAATACTGTATGCAGATGGTGGGTACAGAAAGTAAAGCATGAAGGTGTGTCAGCTGACAGAACTTGCTGTTAAGTGGCAACAATTTTTTTAGGGAAGTAAAATTTAATAAACTATAATGTTATAAGGGTAACGTGAGATCACATCTATGGGAGTAATGCCGAGAAGATGTGCTTGCAACAGGACAAAAGACCTGTAGGGTCAGTAGGTATACTGAACAAAACGTCTGCAAAAAACAAACAAACAATCAAAAAACGTGATTTACGCTTCACAAATAATAAATGTTCATTTTCAAACTGCAGTGCGTGAAATCTCAAGCGAAGCCATTAGTCAACCAGCTTTAAATCTGCCTCGTCACTGATGATATATTCAAATCCTAATGGAAAAAAATCCTATCCAGACCACTGCTGTGAGATATTCTGAGTACAAATGATTGTTAAAGTAATTCAAACAACTTGTAAGTACGTCGATTTGAAATCTGTTCCGAGGGCATTTTTTGCGTTGCATTTGTAAATACCAGAGTTCATGAGCACAGGGTTCTGTATGACCAGACTGCCCTCCTCTGTCATATGAATTCCTCCCTGTACTGTGTACCGGCTGTGGGGAACCAGTGTGGTGCGCCCAGGTAATGTCCATGAAATGTCTGGCTTGGGAATACCAGTTGCGACACACTTTAACATGACGGGCGATCCCCTGTACGCTCTGGTGATGGAAGTCATTGTACTTGTGATTTGTGGAGGGAACACCATCACAGTGACTGGGTAGGATAGTGCTGACGACCCGAAAGAGTTGGAAGCTTTACAAATGTATGTTCCTTTGTCAAAGGTAGCCATCTGCCTGAGCTGGAGCGTACCATTGGGAAAGAAAGATATTCGGCCAATAGTTTGAGGTTTGTCCAAAACAACACCATTGGGCAGGATCCATGTGATTGATGCCTGCGGCCAGCCATCCACAGTGCAAGGCAAGTTCAGATTGAGGCCATAAGTGATCTTCATCCCACCTGGAAAAAGTCAAATTGTAACAGTAAGATAATCTCTTGCTAAAATGATAGACACAATAAATACAATGATACGGTAGAACTGAGATAACACAAACATGCGTTGACTCTTTGGCAGAACCTCTGAACACAAAAATTATACTTGGGTGCAGACCAAAACAACTAAAACCTTTAAGACCTGCGGTCCCCAACCTTTTTTGCGCCACGGACCGGTTTAATGTCAGACAATATTTTCATGGACCGGACTTTAAGATGCCGTGGATAAATAAAACAAAATAAATGATACGACCAAGACAAAAACTGTGGGATTTTGTAAATATAATAACTCTGCCCCTTAATACTCTCTGGTTGCTATGGTAACACGTAAATATTTCTTTCAAAATAAGACACAACTACAACACGGGAAAAGACCCAGGGAAACCGAGTTAATGATAAAAACCCTGAAAACCATAAATTGCACACCCGAGACTCTCGTGGCCCGGTACCAAACGACTCACGGCGCGGTACCGGTCCATGGCCCGGGGGTTGGGGACCGCTGGGGTCTCAGGTTCACCCAAGGGTTAAGAGGAAGTGCTCTTGGTCAAACAGACACATTTTGCAGTCGCTATTAAAAAGTGGGAAAATAATTAAAACTGGTCTTGGTCCAAAGACAGCGGGCATTACACAAATATATTTCTTTCTTTTTCACATATGAATGACACATAACAAAAGACATTTCTGTTTCATTAATTTTGGATAAAAAAACACAAACATACCTGTAGATCCTCTGATCACTGGCTTCCTCCCAGCTTCCAGGGCATAACGTTTCTCTGCTTGTCCTGCAACATTTTTTGCTAGGCACCGATACACTCCTTTATCAGCTGGAACTGGTCGAGAGATCCGCAGAGTTCCATTGCCTAAATAATGGGTGAACCGCTGGAGTCTAGCACCAGGCATCAACAATGTGCCATTGGGTAGTATCCATGAAAACTCTGGGTTTGGCTTGCCACGGGCAGAGCACTCAAGAATCAGTTCCCCTCCATCTGGCTTTATTGGTAAGATCTCAATATTGGGAACAGAAAAAGTAGGTTTCTCTGCTAATGATGCTACATCAAATTCAACCAAAAGTGAGGCTTCACCCATGTTGTTTTTTGCTAGACACATATACGTCCCTTCATCTGTTTTCCTTAACCCCCTCAGCTCCAAGGTACCATTTTGATGGACTTGAAAGCGACCTCCGAGGTAGGGTGCTGGGAGTGAGAGGCCATAAGGAGTAACCCACCAGACTTTTGGTTCGGGTTTTCCTTCCACTCTACAATGCAGATGTGCTGTTTGGTACGATACACCCAAAACCTTGGTGGTACTCCTCCCTTTCACACCATTGATAAAGGGTTCCTGGGGCTCAGCTTCAACTTTTATGTTCTTTACATCATCACCAGCTGAATTTCGTGCCAAACATGTGTATATTCCTTCACTAGACAGTGTCACTTTCTTTACGAGTAACATTCCACCATCCATAATCTGAAATTTGTCGGATGATGCTGGTATGACATCCTTTTGTGGTGAGATCCATGTGATTCTAGGTGTAGGTTCACCAGTTGCCTCACAACTCAGTTTGGCTGATTCTCCCAGTTTTATCGTCACTAGTGATTGTGACTTGAATCTAATTTTCGGAGCATTTGGTCCCACTTTGACGCTCACTTTTCTTTCATCTTTTCCCAGTTTGTTCTTGGCATAACAAGTGTAGTCACCCTCATCTTTTTTGCCCATCTGCTGTAGAAGTAAAGTTCCATTGCCAAACATAACATGTCGGCGGTTACGAAGGCCGCTATCATCTGACTGAAGGGCGTTGTTGATTATTGTTCCATCTGGAAGACTCCAGAAAACTTCTGGATCGGGTAGGCCAGTTGCCACACAGTCCACCTAGAATGAAGGTAGGGGAGAGGCAAGTATACCGATGAATCCAAACAGCTGATCTATACAACTGGGTATGAAGAATTATGTATTATGGAAGAATCATGGTTAAAAGAAACATGAAGTCTGCTGTTTGAGTCATCAACCCATCCTGACCCTGCTCAATAACAGCTTGATAATCTTTCCATTGGTTTTATAAGTAGAACTAAATCATATAAAGGAAAAACTAGCACATAGTAAAGTGAACTGTTAGGTCACATTGTGCCTCAAAAAACCAAAAATACCTCATGACATCGATTGATTGGTTGCTCTGCTATACAAAGATGTTTTAAGACCAACATGAAAGTTGGTCTTAATATACTTATTAGTATAGATTCTGCTATGAGAGAAATAATACATATAAATAATTATTCATGATTATGAATATAATCATGAATAATTATTAATAATTAAATATAAAATAGGGCTGCCCACACAGGAAGCAACTAGCAATGATATGGTGAGCCCATAGAAAGTCAATGATGTTCACAAAGTTCACTAGCAACTTGAAGTTGTCAGTCCTGAGTTAAACATTTCTCAACCTTAAGGTGAGGATACTGGTGATTGGCATATTACAATGTGGAAAATATTTCAGGTATTATCTAGGTGTTTGCTAGTGACTAACAATTAGCTACAAAGCAATTTGCAATGCATCCTGTGTGAATGTCTCCTTAGACTTTTCCACCATAGAATTAATGTAACATTAGCTGATATTCATCTATATGTTGCTAACAATGATTTAGATGTAGATTTGCGGCGACTCTTCGCACTTATGGGAGAAGAGGACTCAAAGCATAACACAGCACCAGATGCCTTAACTTTAGGAATCAAGTGTTCAGGGTTCTTTCCGGCGCAAACGTCCTGAAATTACTG